ACTGCCCTTCCAAAGCCCCTTAGCCAGTATCGGCAATGTGGCCTGGTGGGTAGGGCCCTGGGCTAGGAGACCTGGGTTCTGGTCCTGCCATGGACCTGCTGCAGGGCCTGGGGCCAGTCACCTCTCCTCTCTGTTCTGCTCCCAACCCTTTGTCTGCTTGGACTGTGAGCTAATCAGGGCAGGGACTGTCAGTGTGTTTGTACAGCGCCGAGCGCAGCAGGGCCTGATTTGGTAGAGGGTTGTAGACACCACTCTAGACCAGTTCAACACACCAGTCACCACCACTAAGGAGCTTTCTGTCCGGAGATGCCCTAGCCACCTGTAGTGCAATGTAGATGTTAATCCATCCATGCAGCCTGCCGGCCCCCTTGCTGGTGTCAGAGGGCATCTTCCTGGATGCCTTAAAACTGTTTCCCTCTTGCTCGGTTTCTACTTCTTGCCTTTCTGCCACCCCTTTGCCTGGCAGATCCCCTCCCCCCTCCCCAGACCCGACTTGCTTTGGAAAGAGACAGCTTTCCCACAGGACCCACTTCGCCCAGCTTGGCACCGTGGGTCATTTACACCCGTGTGGGTGAGGGTATCGGAGAATTTGGGTTTGATGGCATTTTACGGCCACCGTGCACAGCGGTGAATGGAGATGGGGGGCCCACACAGGGGCGGTCAGGCCCAGCCCCTCCTTTGCCCTGGTCTTGGCTAGACAGGGATCAAAGCTGTGTAGACAAGACAGCGTGGGCTTTAACGTGAGCTAGGCTGGTGGCGTTAAAGTTTAGGCCCGAGTTTGAACGTGAACAGTTTCACACGTGTTAAAGGCCGAGTGCATGGGCTGCATTAGACTTTTCACACGTTAGACTATGCTCCAGAGCAGGGTAGGAGGGGCTGGGGATGGAGGAGGGGGGTGGTCCCACTCCCAGTGGGGCAGGGAGCTAGGCTGGTGCCCAGCAGTGCGCCAGGGGTCACTGGCTCAGTTTTGGAGCTCAGCTTGGTTTGACTTAAAGCGCCGGCCTCAGGGCTGACAAGTGAACCGATGTCCTGCCGGCAGGTTGTGGGTGGGGTGTGTGACTACCCCGAAGGAAGGAGGAGATGGCAGGAGAAACAGCTGGAGAAGCACGTGGCCCAGCATGAGACTTGTCAATGGGGCGCCCACAGGCTGCAGGGAGGGGGCAGGTGAGCCACGAGAAACAGGAGAGGGCAACTGAGACAGGGCCAGCGAGTGGTCAGGTAAGAGCCCCAGGGGACTAGAGATGTGACAATTGTCCTGTGCTAGCCCCGGAGAATGGCCCAAGAACAGACCTATGGGGGTGACATGTGGGGACAGCTCTCCTTGGACGGGATGGGGTGGGGGGAAGGCAAGCTACGGGATATTCTTGAGCTTTTCTCCATGGAGCGGGCGCGCAGGTCTCCTGGCTGGGCTCTGGCCCATGCTGTCTTTCCCTTTGATTGCTCTCAGGGCTGCTGCTCCTCACAGCGTTCCTCCTCCACATCAAGCTGTCCAGGATGAGCCCGGCCCGGCTGGTCTGCGACAACCGGCTGATCCAGAAATACATCAGCGAAGCCAAGGACATGGAGAAGAGAGTGGTAAGGAGACACGCTCCAGCCCGGCTAACCAGGAGCTCCCCTACAGCCAGCGCCCCTGCAGCGCCCCCTGCTGGGAGAGGCTGGGAGCTCCCCCACAGCCAGTGCTCCTACCCTTGCCCTACAGCGCCCCCTGCTGGGAGAGGCTGGGCACTCCCCCACAGCCAGCGCTCATACCCGTGCCCTACAGTGCCCCCTACTGGGAGAGGCTGGGACTGGAGTAACTGGGAGCTCCCCCACAACCAGCGCTCCTGCCCTGCCCCCTACAGCACCCCCTGCTGGGAGAGGCTGGGACTGGAGTAACTGGGAGCTCCCCCACAACCGGCGCTCCTGCCCTGCCCCCTACAGTGCCCCCTGCTGGGAGAGGCTGGGACTGGAGTAACTGGGAGCTCCCCCACAGCCAGCGCTCATACCCTGTGCCCTATGGCGCCCCCTGTTGGGAGAGGGTGGGCACTTCCCCTCAGCCAGCGCTTCTACCCGTGCCCAACAGCGCCCCCTACTGGAAGAGGCTGGGACTGGAGTAGCTGGCAGCTCCCCCACAGCCAGTGCCTGCCCTGCCCCCTGCTGGGAGAGGCTGGGATCACACAAGCTTCAGAGGAAGGAAGGCAGGGAAACATCTTGCCTGGCCATGTATGCGGCACAGCCCCAGCGCTGCCCCCGCTCCTCCTAACGGAGATGGTGCTAATTCCTTCTCTTGCCCCTAGAGCCGGCCTCACGGGCTGGGCTCTCCTAGGCCTGTCCGCGTCTGTCTCAGTGCTTTCCACTTCCTCTCCCCATAGAGCCAGTGCCAGGAGCTCCCCTCACTAACGCAGCCCCTTCCTCTGCCCATGGTGGACTTCAGCCTCCGGGAATGGAAAACGAAGACAGTGAGTGAGGCCGGGGGCACCTGGGGACAGGTGTGGGGTGGGGAGCATCTCTAGCAGCTGCAGCCCAGGAGTTCCAGCTCTTCCCTGGCCACGAAGGGGAAGATGATCACTCAGCCCACCTTCGAGGGGGCAGCAGACCCAGAGAGGAGTCCTGGAGGGGAGGGGAATATTTGTCCCTCTGCTGGCTGCTGCCCATGGGCTCAGCAGAGGGCAGTCCTGCTCCCTCGCCCCCTGCCGGTGGGGTGATGCCAGCGGCCACGTTCCCGTCACGCTGCCGGGTTAGGAGACATGGGAAGGGCTGAGGGCTCTCACCCCTTAGTCCCTGCCTGCGGGCTCAGGCACTCACCGCCCCCCCCTTCTCTGTCCCCGTCAGAATGAGACGAAAAGGCAGGAAATCCTCTGTGACCTGGCGCTGCTGGTGGACGCGGTGAGCGCTGCGCAGGGCCACGTGAGGCAGGAGTGTGCGGCTGCCCTCCTGGGGCAGCTCTACAAGAAAGCCAACTCCTTCCTCCTGCTCCTGCAGACCTTCAGCTGGCAGGTGAGACCCCTTCTGCCCAGCCCAGCCTGGCCCCCGGCCCTCTGGCCCCATCAGCCCTGCCCAGCCCAGCAGGGTGAAGAGCTCACCTTGCTCCTCTCTAAGCCTGGAGTCCCAGCTGCAGCTTTGGCCCCGGGTGGCAATGGGGATGCCGCCGGGGACTGCTCAGGGCGGGGGAAGCACTCTTTTTGAGGGCCCGTTCTCTGTCTTGGGACAGGTCAGCGCCTGGCAGCCGGACCGCGCTTCCCGGACAACGCTGCAGAGCCACCCCAGTGTGATATTTCTGGTCTACCGGCAGCTCGTGCAAGGCAAACTGCGCTTCCTGTTCCATGACCTGGCAAAGGATTTCTGCCGGGAAGGAAGCCGGGGGGTGCCAGAGCCCCCAAGCACCCCATGTCCCCGCCTGCCTCAAGGGGACAGTGAAAGCCCTGCCTGCTGATGGGGGTGTCCACCAGACCACAGGTGGAGACAGGGTGGGAAGGAAGCAGATCCTGGCCCCCCACTCTCCAGAGATGGGGGAGGAAGAGCAGGGCAGAGTGGGCCTTGCTGGAGCAGAGGAGAGATCACGCCCAAGGACATTAACAGCTGGCAGAGGACAAGAAAGGGGGCTCCTTCAGCCCTAAAGAGGCCCCCCACTACTGGGTCGGTGAATGTCGACCCACAGCGAAGACTTGAGAGCTGAGCAAAAAGGGGCCTGGCCCTGAGACTGGGAGGGGCCAAAGGATGCGGTTCTCAGCTCTGCACATCCCAGGAAAGGGAGAGGACTCTGCCCTCCGAGGAGGAGCTCCTGTGGGCGCACGGCGAGGCAGGACTCATTGGCATAGGGCCTCTGAATCCAGCCAACACACATGCAACACGCGTGGACTCGTCCCTGCCCCAGGGCACAGGTGAGAAAACTCACTGCTCATCCACCAGCCCCGTCTCCAGCCGACCACTGCGTAATCCAGGGGTGGGGGACTTGCTGTGCCAGGGGACCAGCTGGCAGAACGCAGCTGTGGACTTACGCACTTGCGGGTACACGCCCCTGCGGCCCATGCCCCCAGGTCTCCCTGCGTCACCCCAGCCCAGCCTCCCTGCACAGAGGGTAATGCAGCACTCGCTGTTTATCACAACTGTGGCAGTGGAAAGGAGACGGATTCGGGCTGCTTGCTAGAGTTAAGGATCAGGGAGGGGGCGGGCGTCTTTTACCGGGAAAACGTCTTACGATTAAAGAGCTTATTTTTCTAAAGAGCCCTGTGATCTTGCTTAGCAGGGGGCAAAGCTCACTGATCGGGGTTAGTGCGGGGACACGGGCCTGCTCACTGGGGGCCCATGCACAGGGGTGCGCCAGCCTTATTCTGGGGACTTCAGTGAGAAACAGACTCTCTTCCACTCACCTCCCCGTCCCACTCGGGGGAGGGAGGAGTGTGTGTGTGGGGCATTGGGGGCAGGGCCCTGCTCAGGCAGTGCTGCACCCTCCCCTGAGAAGGAGGTATCCAGCGCCCTCCTGTGGCCGCTGCAGGAACAGCAGACAGACAGGTGCCTTTCCCAGAAACAGAGCTGGCTCTCACCCCTTCTCCTAGCCTGGCCCGCTTCCAAGGCTAGCGCATCTCGCAGCCATCTCCCCTCTCACCCCTACCCTGCAGCAATTTCTAGGCTGAATTAAATGGAAGGAGACAGCATTAAGGAGACTAAGGCCACGTCTACGCTACAGGCGACAGCTCTCCTTGGCCACTGGCGTTTCAGGGCCATTCACACCTCAAACTCCAGGCAGCAGAGAGGGATCTAGGGGCCAGGAGTATGCTCAACAGAGCTGTGTCTGGTTACACCGGCTCTGCATCTGGCTTCTAGGCCTTCCCTCCATCAGAAAGGGCACGAGCTCCTGGGCCGGCAGAGCTCGTCCCAGTCCCTCAAACAAAAAACTCTATTGGCAAAAGCCCTTTTTTGCCGGCGCCGAGGCCCTTTACTGCCATAGCTACATTGGCCAAACTCTACCGGTGGCTGGTCGCTAAGGGCCACCCCATGTGTTAGAAGACTTGGATCACAAGTTCTCCAGCAGGGGGAGCCCTCTCCCCTTTTTATTGAGGCTGGACAAGCAGCGGGCCCCAAAACTTTGTACAGTCGTAACCCAGGGTGACGGTCTGGATCTAGCCAGAAATGACCGGCGTGGGTAATGGAGGACAAGAGCAGAGTCAACTCGGAGACAAAATGAAGTGGCTAGCCCTTAGAGTCGCAAAGGAAACCTTCCAGTGTAACTAGTGCAGCGATGTCTGAAACAGTCATGTCTGCGCACCAAGAAGCCAGAGTGCGGACGGGGTGAACTCCCCGTCTTAAACACCAGCGGTTTTAGCTGTGTCACTGTATATTACGGTCTCACACTTGCTAGCGTGATCTAAGCAGAGACAAATCCGAAGCACCCACTTTAGTAAGGAACCAGGTAGGGCTGGCTCAGTAACGGCTCCCTGTCCTGCGCCCGGCCAACACAGAGGCCACAAAATACAGAGCCTGCTGGAAATGGGGCTGGCTTTTGCCATGCATCCCTTCAGAGGGTCCAGATGGGCCAAAGGAGCTGAAATCCAGCGGCCGTTGCCTACAAGGGTCCCAGTCCCGGCCAGCAAGGCCGTGTCTATTTGCAAAGCCTGCGTGTGAGGCGGGGTCCCAGGTGCAGCCGCAGTCCCCAGCGGCTCGGCCCCCTGCGGTTAGAAGGCCAGTTTCTTCATCAGGAGGTAAACCCTGGAATCCACTTCGAAGCCGTGCAGGTTGTTGGCGTCTCCCTGGAGTCTCATGAGCAGCCCCCCGTAGGACACGTAGGCAGAACTAGGGCAGGAGAGGGGCAGAGGTGAGAACAGGATCCCACGGATCAGGGAGGGGGCATCACACCCAGGCTCCAGAAGCCTTAGCAGCCAAGAGGCAGCCATTGTTGCTCACCTCCCCGGTGTCAGAGGGCCCCCTCGTGGCTAAAGGGAGCCCCTGGCTACTCACCTCTGGGAATTAGGAGCCTGCTAGGTGAGAGGAGTGCGACGGGCAGAGCTCAGCGTCCCGGTGTTCCCCTTAGGGATCCACTAGCGACTCTGTGTAGGACCATGCTGCCCCCTCCCTTGACTACCCCAGGCTCAGGGCACCGCGCTCTGAAGGGGCACAGAACTGCACCACCTCTCGTGGACAACAGGGGAGTGGCACGGGGGGTAGGGGCAAGCAGAACACTTACAGGCGTGTGGCTGCCTCCGTGGATGTTTCATCTCCCTCAATCCTGTACACCTTCCCGTACATCACATACTCAAACTGGTCGGCCCTGCATGCAACAAGAGAGCGGGGGTGGAGAGAGGCGCACACCCACGGACCTGACCCTTCTGCCCAAAGCAAACATCCATCAGGGTAAAGCACCAGATGGTTCCTGGAAAGCCACCTGGCGCCCTCTGCACTCCTGCAATGGCCCTGAATGTAGCCAGCCACATAAGCACAGTCTGGCCTCTGCCCCCACAGCACACATGGCGCACGTGCGATCAGCCCTATGGAGCCACCAGTGGCCACCGCCAGCCCAAGCAGCAAGTAACCCCCTGGCGAATAGGGAGAGGGAGCTACAGAACCAGGGCCGCCAAGAACAGGTAGGGGCTGCTTGGATACAACAGCGATGATGTAGAAATAGTCACGGACATGAGAATTTAGAAACCAAAAAATAAACAGAGGATGGATAAAAGTGAAAGATGAGAAGGAAAACAGAGAGAGAGAGAGAAGGAAAAGTGAACGGGGGCAGGACAAGAGAGCGGGCACCAAGCACACGCGCCAGGAGAGACAGCAGTGCCCAACTGCCCACAAGGGAACTCCACCAGACAAAGGCCGGGAACTCGTTAGCCCCTTCTCCCAGGTGTTTACAGGCCAAAGTGATCAGGCAGTGACTCTGACCCAGGGCAGCTCCCCAACGCCACGCTTTCCCCACCCCTTTGTTCACGGTCCTCAGCCAGTTTGGATCCCCACGAGAGCGAACCATACCCACCCCACGGGGAATTCATACGGGGGACTGCACCAGACACTACTGCATTCTTGGCTACTTCCTGCCGTGTTACAGCTCCCTGCCCCATTACCTGGACGGCCTGTCGTCAGTGGGGTTATACTCCCCATCATCCAAGGTCCCATCTTCATACAAGGTGCTGGCGATGACCAGGCGGAATTTGTCCCCTGAAACACACAGCAGAGAGCAGGAGCTAAAAGGCAAGCCTCCACGGAGGCCAGCTGCTCACCGCCACACCTGTCACAGGCCACATGATCCCATGCACACAAGGGCAGGGGAAAGGGAGCAACGAGGACTCCTAGCTGTATGTTAATCCAAAGGTGCTCGAAGGCAAAGATGAGCGAGCCACATGTGAACTGGCTCCTAGCCCGATGCGGCCAGTCACCAGGGCACACAATATTCAGGGCGCCCAGGTCCAGAGACGGGTGATCAGGGACACGCAGCAGCATGTCCAGGTGCCAGGTGATGCGCTCTGACCCCAGACGTCATGGAGCTGTCAGGCAGGTGAAGAGCAGATCTCCTCACATCACAGCTGTTTGTGGCCACTGGACCTAATTAATTAAATGCACTGAATGCATCGAAGGCCTCTTTCCTTCAGAATGGCAGCATGCACATGAGGGCTTCCTGCACTTTAAATCATACACTTCAGATGCACACCTCTCCTTAATTTGAATTTGTATCCTGGCTAGACAAGCCCTCAGTGTTATGGGCACCTCTGCCAGCAACTGGCTCTCGCTCAGCAGGTGCTGCCTGTCACAGGGATGATCAGTTGCCAGCCTGCGAGCACCCTACATACGTACCCAGGTCCACGGGGTAGATCTGTATATTCACATCCAGGATTAGGTCCATCTTGAAAGACTCACTTTCACAATGCAGGCGGGAAACTGGAAGGGAAGGAGCCGAACCAGTGACACATGAGATACGGGGCCTTTCACCTCTAGGGCCTTGGTCCAGATACAGCCCCAGATTCTGGGGGAAGGGGATTATGGGGCCTGTCCCCTCAAGGGCCTCGGTCCAGATACAGCCCCAGATTCTGGGGGAAGGGGATTATGGGGCCTGTCCCCTCAAGGGCCTCAATCCCAATTGAGCCTCAGATCTGGGGTCGGGGGGTTATGGAACCTGTCCCCGTGGGGAGGAATTAAGGGGGGGAAGGGATTAAGGGGCCTGCCTCCCTTAGGGTCTGGGTCCCAATCCAGCCCCAGATCTGGGGGAGGGGGGTTATGGGCCTTTCCCCCCTAGGGCCTGGGTCCCGATCCAGCCCCAGATCCAGGGGAGTAATGGGGCTGCTCCCCCTAGGGAGCAATCCAATCCAGCACCAGATC